ATTAACTTATAAATTCTCAATAATTAAAATAATATATTAGTGTTTTGAATTATTTGTGTTATTTTTATTCTATATTCTTTTGTAATCCAATTATGCATAAGTCAATTTAAGTTTTCCCTTGTATAATTTACATCAATCCTAAATCTTTGTGATATTGATATTTTTTCCAAACAATAATATGCAAGATACATTTTTGATTCATAGTATAAAACTCAAAATAAAGTAAAAGAAATTCAATAATTTTATTAAAAAAAGGTAATGCACTACAAAAAAGAGTAAGTTGGAGTGTTGTATGAGGTTTTGTCCTTATCCAATGAGGTTGATGAAGTATTCCTCCCTATCCTGATAAACACATTGACAAAAGAGAGAATCTAAAACTGCATAGAATTTCTCTCATAAGATAAAAACAAATTCCTTTTAGAAATAGAAAGTTAAAAGGTAGAAACCTAATCACTGCTTGAGAAAGAATAGACTCTTAATGGAGAGAAGAACATTGAGATAATAACAGCTGTCCTCAAAAAAGTTATGGATCATGACTTTAATACACAGAATTATTCAATGGATGATTATGAAGAATTTAAAAAGGATCTAATCACAAAAATATCATTGAATAAGAAGATAATAGAATTCCTAAAATTTTTAGTTCATCTGACTGCTTTAGATGAGACATACAATTAATGTGGTTCAAATTCTCTTCATTTGCTAGTTTAAATGAAAGTGGATTTGAGGGAATAAAGTTTTGAGAATATCAGGATAAGAAATACCTCTTTAGTAGGTGGAAATTTTGTAAGATGCAATTTCAATGGATCAGAATTTGATAATGTTTATATTAGTGGAATGAACTTGAATTAAGCTTAATTGTTTGATTGTAAATGGAAAAATATCAAAATTCAAGAGTTAAATAAATTGGAAGGTCATGGTGAAAGTGTGAATTAGGTTTGCTTTTCTCCAGATGGTAAATCATTAGCTTCTTGTAGTGATGATAATTCGATTATATAGTGGGATGTTAAAACAGGAAAAATAAAGTCTAGAATCAAGGTAAAGAAATAAGTAAAATCAGTATGCTTCTCACATAATACTAGTAAATTAGCATTCAGCAGTAGAAATTTTGTATATTTATGGAATCTTAAGACAGGAAAATAAAAAGCAAAATTAGATGGTCATTCAAAGAGTGTTAATTCTATTTGTTACTCTCCTGATGGCACACATTAGCATCTGGTAGTGCAGATAAGTCTATTCGTTTATGGGATGTTAAGACAGGATAA